TTTTTTTTTTTTTTTTTTTTTGTAGAAGTAAATTACTGCAAAAATTTCAGACAAATGGTATTTGGTAACCGAAGGAAAGTTTACGAGAGTTTTTTTGAATAAATACAAAAAAGTTTTAACAATTTTTTCACGGAATTTACAATTTGAGGGTTACCATAGGTGAACAAGATTTCTTTAGATGTTTTGGGTACAGTTGTTTGACCCTCGGTCCTGTAGGATACCGTCTTGTAGTTATACTGTTGAATAGCATCTAGAAAGTTTTTATAGATTAGTTGAACAGCGTTACCTTAAATTGCGATCATTACATTATTAACAGATTCAAAAAAAAAAAAACTGTGATGAATCTTAATTTGGATAAATTTTTAAACTTCTGAAAGTACTGTAAATGTTGCCTTTTTGTATATTTGTTTTTTCTTGTCATCTGTTTTTTATTTCCAGTTTTTCTTTCACTGCGTAAAAGGTTTTTTTTTGTGGTAATTGTAGTTGGCGAAAATTTTTGCTGGATTTATATGGTAGAAGAGAGAGGTTTGAAAATTTGTTGAGAAAATTATTTGTTGGCGATTAGTTGGTGTTTTTATTTTGCTCCGAATAGCTGTCGTTCCACTGTCGTTCAATTATGCCAAATAGTACTATTCTGGTAGTTAGTTTATAAGAACAGAAACCAGTGTAAAGTATTATGTGAAAAGAATTTCATTTTTTTTCCTTTATCTTTCAGTTATTTTTTTATTCCTTATAATATTAAATTTTTGCAAAAAAAAAAAAAAAGTAAAAAACAAACGAAGAGGAAAAATTTAAAAAACCTAAAGAAGTTATGTACTCCACAAGTAGCGGTACACTATTTGACTGTTTTGGTCAATTGCATCGTTTAAGCTATTACTCAGACCTTATCCATTACATATATACATCATATTTGTCTATAAAATCAGTTATTTGGTTAAGCAAAGGAGTATCCGAAATTTTATGCTAAAGTCATGACAAATAATCATGATAAATTATTTTTTATTTTCATATTTAAAAGAAGAAAAAAGTTTTTTTTTATCATTTTTTTGCTTTCTTTTTTTCTTTCCCGTTTTTTTTTTTTTTTTTTTTTTTTTTTTTTTT